GATAAATCAAAGTAGAATGTAATATGCACAAAGTTACCATTGTGCCTCAAGTCTTAGGATTAGTCATGTACTATTGTAACATGAAAATTCTTATTCGACTGAATAAATTCTTCATTAAGAATTTTCATACGGTCATGTTCAGTGAACTTGTTCTCTAACAAGCACCCACATAAATGTACTTACGTCTTACGCTAATGTTGATGGAATGCAACATTCTTGTCCAACAATCATACAAACTATGTGCAAGTCTTTTATGGATTATTCGATATCCCATCTCGAAACATCCATCGACTTGGAACTGTATTTAAGATCACGGCTTTCAAAGTATGTTCCATGATCACCATCTCTATGCGCAACCATACCTTATAACCATAAGTGATCTAGGAATTTTATCTTAAGTGCAATTATAAGATAAATGCTTTCTCTTAAGATAAAGAAATGCCTTATTCATAATATAATTCCAATAGACTGTATTTACAAGTAGAATACGTCCAATTAGATTGGAACGCCGGGTACCCTACTCTAACAAGAAGATGTGCCTTGCAATGATCAACATGCACCATACAAAAAAAAAAAAAAAAAACCTCTTCAAGTACTAGAGGTCTTCGGCCAAGTCGGTTGAGGAATTCATTGACGAAGTGGACGTCGAAGCCTTTTAACAAGCTCCTGGCCAGGTGCAACAAATACATAAGCACAGAAGATGTTGAGTCCGACTTTGTAGAGAGCGACAAGACCAATGTCAAAGGAGCGGAGGAGAAATCCCTTTCAAATGACAAGACGTCTCCAAACATGGAGTCTAGATTAGAAGAGCGTGCCAAGATAGGGTTCAGGTACAGTCAGTACGCACCTTTAGTTGTGCTCCAGAAGGAGGTTTTTGAGGTCCTTTAAAAGTTGGGTAATGCAGGGATTTTTGGCTGACCAAAACCCTTTCCGAAGAGTAAATGGTATATGCAAGAGAGAGGTGATCTATACTGCAGATATCACAAGGATTACGGTCATTCGACTAATAGTTGAAGGGAGTTAGGAATATAAAATAGTTAGTTCTATGAGACAAAAAGAAAAAAGACGATTGCAAGGTCTGGGATTTGACAAGGCTGAGGACATAACGCCCAAAGGGGGCGTAAACCAGATGATCACGGGAGGTCCCACTGATGGAGACTTCTACAATAAGAGAAAGAGGACAATTCGCTGCAAGGATATTTTCAAGGAAGTCGTAGAGGTCATGTCCCAGAAACCTAAAATCACACTCAAGTTCAGTTTAAGGGATGTGCAAGGTATTTCCACCCTACACAATTATGCCTTGTAATCACTGTCGAGGTGAAAGTTATGATGTCCAGAGAGTGTTCATTGATACAGACATCTCTTTGGACATAAATTTCTTGGAGTGTTTGAGGCAGATGGATCTAGATGTGAAGATTGAGGCAGTTCATACAACCCTCTACGGGTTTAATGGCAATGGGGTAACGCCAGTATGAGAAGTTTGTCTGCCTGTAGCGCTGGGAAGGCTTTCCCTTAGGAAGATCAAGGTGGTTAGATTCTTGTGGTAAATACTAGCTTGACGTACAACATCATTCTTGGACTCCCTAGTCTAAAATCATTCCAGAAAGCGGTCTTGAGCTACTACCTTAAAGTAAAAATCCTAGTCGAGGCCAAAGTATGTCAAGATCCAGACCAGCTAGAGAACTCAAACATAGAGAAAAAGAAGATGCTAAAGGTCTCGTCTCAGGATGAGCTCATGGAGATCGAGCTTATTGAATGAAAAGTGTAAAAGGTAACCAAGGTGGGCCAACATTTTCTGAAAGATATTCAAGGCGCCCTCATTGCTATGATGAGAATGTGAATATTTTTGCATTCTCAGCATATGATCGTACAGTAATGATTGCCAAAGTAGTCCAGCATAGGTTAAACATCGAGTCGACAATGAAGCCGGTAAAACAGAAGATAATGCACTTTGGTGCAGAACTCAACCAAGTGATTGAGGCTGAGGTAGAAAAGCTTCTAAGGGTAGGACAAATACAACCTATCTAGTTTCCATAATGGTTGTCGAATTCATCCATGGTCAAGAAAAGCGAGGGCGAGTGGCAAATGTGAATAGAATTTAGGGTCCTCAACAAGCCATGCCCTAAGGACCATTACCCGTTGTCAAGAATAAACTAACTCATTGATTCGACAACTAGCTGGGAACTCCTTAGTATGACGGATGCATCCCAAGGATACCATCATATACTTTTCGCGGTCGAGGACTAGAAGAGGGTAAGTTTTGTGACGTTAAAGGGCACTTATTGCTATGTGGTGATTCATTTCAGATTAAAGAACACTGGAGAAACCTACCACTGGCCAGTAGATAGGATGTTCAAGGATCAAGTCGAGCGCAACATGAAAGTCTACTTAGACGATATGGTCGTGAAGAAAAAATTAGGCGGAAAGTCATGTTGACAACCTGATGGAGACCTTCAACAAGCTGAGGAACTTTTGTATTAAGCTTAACCCATCAAAGTGCATGTTTGGGGTCAGATCGGGAAGGTTATTGGGTTACTTGGTCATGAAAAAAGGTATCGAAGTCAACCTAGAAAAAACAAAGGCGGTGCTCTAAATACAGGCACCAAAGAATCTGAATGAGGTCCAAGTACTCACAGGTAGACTAGCCTAGCTGAGCAGGTTTATCGCACACTCAGCTAAGCGGAGATTTTTATTCTTCAGGTCATTGAGGAAAGATCTTGATTTGAGTGGACTCCCCAAGCATAACATGCTTTGGATCGGCTTAAGGAATTTTTAGCTAAGCTACCGCTACTCACGAATCCAGAACCCATGGATGACCTTGCCCTATATTTAGTTATATTCAAGGTGGAAATCAGCTCAGTCTTCTAAGAGAAAGAGGAGGTCAGCAGAGACATGTATATTACACAAGTTGGGTGCTCCAAGGCACCGAATTGGAGTACTCAAAGGTCGAGAAGGTTGAGTTGGTTGTTATCTTAACAACACGTAAGTTGCAACCATATTTCTTGGCACTTAAGGTCGTGGCCTAGATGAATTACGCTCTAAAAGACAACCTAGGTCGACCTTCGGCCTCAGGGAGGATAGTGAAGTGGGTTGTCGACCTCGGAGAGTAAAACGTGGAGTTCAAATTACAGAGATCCATCATACAAGCTTTGGCGGGTATCATACAAGAGTGCACATTCAAAGGGGAGGTCGGTCAATGTATGGTCGTCTCACCCCAACAAGAACACCTCGAGTTTGCTGTAAGTTTGTCTTTCAAAGCATCGAATAATGTGGCAGAATATGAAACTTCAGTAAACGAGATTCATCTTGTGGCGAAAGAGGGATCCAAGAGGGTGATTTTCCACTCAGATTTTTAGCTCGTCATTGAATAGGTCAAGGGTGAGTACAAGGCCAAGGTAGTACGAATCAGAAGTACGAGACTGAGGTGCAGTCACTGCTAAAAGGGTTTATGACCTCTTATGTAGATACAAGGGGAAGACAATAGTATATAAGACCTCTTATCGAAGGTGAGAACATCTTTAGTCGATTGGAGGTCCAACTCAATTACTCTACTCAATATCTGAGGGGATCCAGTGGCCAGAAGATAAATTATGGTATTTCTTTGTAATGGAGTGTTGTATAAGAGATCTTATATAGGGCCTCACCTTAGGTGTGTCTCCGACAAGGATGGGAATTATGTCCTTCAGGAGGTACATGAAGGTTGTTGTGGTAACCATGTTATAGCTCGAGCGTTTGTGAGATAGGTTTTCTGAGCTAGATACTTTTTTTCTAAGATGCAGGCCATGGCACATGAGCTCGTTTAAAAAAGCTTAATGTGTCAGTAGCACAGATCATCGGTCCACCATTTTGTTGAGAAGATGATCCCATGAGCTTTCCTTTACATTTTCCCAGTGGGGAATAAAAATGGTGTGACCCCTACCCCCCTGGCTAAGAAAGTTCTTTCTAGTCACGGTGGATTATTTAACCAAGTGGATTGAGGTCGAACCAATGAAAAGGATCACGGAGGACAAGGTCGTCAAATTCATGCTCAAAATATTTATTGCAGGTATGGACAACCAAGAATGATCGTATCCGACAATGGAGCCTAATTCAAAAGACCCAATATCATGACTTGGTGTGAAAAGATAAAGATCAAACATCATTTTATTTCACTGGCTCATCCGCAAGAAAATGAATAGGCATAGGTCACCAATAGGTCGATGTTGGCTTGCCTAAGAGTCGATTAGAAAGAGCCTCAAGTGCTTAGATGGACGAGCTTGATTCCGTTCTATGGGCTTATAAAACAATGATTCGGGTCTCGATAGGGCCGCATCATCACATCAGGCACATAATCACATATGGCATAATAGTGGATTATACTACTCCTACAAAACCGAGTTATGCATTAACTTATGGTTGCGCTTGAACACACATAATTCACATAAACCTTCCAAATTTGAACTTTGCACAAAAATGCATTAAATGTGGGCTCTGATACCACTTGTTGGGATCTATAAGGATCGCCGCTAATGTACAATTACAAATTTATCTACAAAATTACCTATGTGCAGCGAATCTGTATGAACGTAAAAGACTTACAGTTTAATAATTTTCTGACTCTGAGATGTAGATTTCCGCAATTGTAGATCTTCTGAGTCAGAAAGTCTGTGGGGCAGCTGGACGAGGCCTTCTCGGAATTTCGTGGGTTGAGTGCGTGTAGACGGGAGGCTGGCGTGTCGCGAACGGTGTCGGGAAGCTAAGGCTGGTGTCGGCTCGCCTAGGCGTCAAGTGGGTCGCACGCTATTGTCGCAGGTCTGCTCGGCGTCAGGTGGCTGTAAGCATCGTGGGTCTTAGCATCGCGGCGAGTAGCAGGTCATCGTCGGGTGAAGCGAGGATGTCGCAGGTCACCATCTGGAGCAGGGAGACTACGTCGTCTGCACGCTGTGAAGGAGTAGATCACGTGGGGTCATTATCGGTGGACCCGGGTCATCTCGCGATGATGCTCGAGTGGCCGATGATAGTCGGGTGCTCGGGTTTCCTCGGGTGCGACAAGGCCTTCTATTTAATTACCTAACACCTCTTGAACTCCCTTGGTGAGAAGGAGAATCTAGATATCTCTATGTGATGTATGTCTTCAATAGAGATCCTAAGGAGGCATTAAATTGAGCTTCTTCCATTAGGACTCAACTGTGAGCCAAGCCTACCAAGCCCTAACAGGAATAATACAATCTTTCTACCAAAGTGGTACTATTATTGAATACTCCCAATTGAATTCTCAAGGTACAATTTGAGTTGTACTCCTAAATACTCGAATTACCTCTCCATATTTAAGATATAATGTTTATCAATTTATTTAATTGTTGATAATTAAATTAATCTACTTCTTGAACCGACGCTTAAAATGTTCAGTACATTACTGTTATGTCGGAATTTAATCCACCCTGCAGTGTTTGACCTAATAATCCTTCTGAACTCATTTCAGGGAAATCATCAAACCTCAACTATGAGAAGTATACAGTGACTGTAAATATTATAACATAACACCATGTCATGTAGGAATCACTACCCAACCTAGACAATTATTGGTCCATATCAATAAACCTCACCTTACTTATACATGTGTTTTTTTTTTTATATCTTATGGGTTAATAGAAAACAGTAATTAGTCGAGGCCTAGTTCATTTACGACAATTAGTACAATACAAACTGCTTCTCTCTGGGATCCAGTCAATACACAAATGTGTATTTGTGTGATTAATCAGTCAAGACCGACTGTACCACCAACACTATAACCGTTTTGATGGATTGATCAATTTCTATCTAAGTTGTGAACAAATTGTTTATGTTTCGCAAGTAACCGATAAATGATCTGATGTCCATCCGTGATCAACCATCTATCTAAATGCAAAACAATAGAACATTTAACTTTATTTAATCAAATATAAATTCTCATTCAACATAAATAGTGTGAATAAAATCTAAAGTCAAGCTTTCAGTATACACACTAACAATTATTTTATAAACCTTTATACGTTTCTTTAATGAGAAATGCGATCTTCCCGTTGCACCTAAGCATCAGATCAGCTTTCCAGGGTAGGTGAGTTTTTATTGTCAGTGGCGAGTTGAAATACTGAGAATTCTAAAGATTTCCTGGAGAAAAATGATGACAGGAATTCTGATCTCTTCATTGCAAGAAGTCCCATACTTTCGGAAGGTCTACTTTTCAAACGATAATTATATTAAGAATTCAAAGAAAGTACATTTGAGATGTCGAAAGTCACCACAAGAACCATAAAGTATGAAATCAATCTCTCTTGGAATTACACAGGCAACCAAGAGGGTACAAACACTCGAGAAATAAAAATCTCCATAAAAGAGACTAAACAAACTCCATAAAGGCGACTAAACAACTCCACGAGGGAAACTAACAAACCTGAAAAAGAAACAAATGCACACCTACGAACAATAGAATAAAACCTCCCTGACTTCTCGCGGGTGCACCGTCACGACACTCGGATCTGCAAACGAGCCAGTCCTCACAACAAAAGCACAAATGAGAGCAACAGATTGAGGCCCCATAACCAAAAACTGAGAACTTACTCAAGCGCTTAGTCAGATATGGCGAGAAGACGAGTCTCAGGCCAGATGTGAACTCCAAATGTCTTCAAGCCGGTA